AGGGGGATTCGCCATCCCTGGAGGTGTTTAAAAAAAGGGCAGATGTGGCACTTGGGGATGTGGTTTAGAGGTGGTTTTGTCAGGTTGTGTTAATGGTTGGACATGATGACCTTAAAGGTCCCTTCCAACCTCAGCAATTCTGTGATTCTATGAAGATGGCAGTCTCCACATCCCACTGGACGTGACTAACAAACCAACAGCTTTGTCCCCACCAACGAACAGAAAGGAACCACACACCTTCTTAGGCGTTGGGGGTTTATATTCCTTTGTCAGTATCATTGTTGCTTTCCTTTTTCCTTTCCTGTTCTGTTACACTGTTGTTATCTCAAGCCACAAGTTTCGCCTTTTTCTTCCGATTCTGCCCCCATCCTGCTGACGGGAGGTGGGGAAGTGAACGAAAGCCCGCCTGGTGCTCTATCACCAGCTGGGGCTAAACCACAACACGCGCGGTAACACACCAGCCCACACCGCTTGCATGGTCCTTCTTTTATAGAGGTGTGAACACTGCTTACGCCGAGAACCGAAAGACACGATGCTTTTTGCCTTCTCAGCGCCGCTGCGGGCGTCTGCTGGAGTTGCTCCCAGCCGCGGCTGCCGCGCGGCCTCAAGCGCACGTGATGCTCCGCACCGCTCTCTGCTCCCGGGCAGCGCTCTCCTCCCCGACGCCGTTCCTCCCTGCGCGCCCTCCGCTGCGGGGGTATACTTAAGAGACAGTGGACATACATGGAACCGGCCATGCGAGGAAGCAGACTGGCTTTAAGGTTCCAAAACCGCGTCTCTCAGCTGCTCCGGACCCACCGGTGGGCCCTAATGCACCAGCTGATGTCTCTTCAGGTGCTGCTTCTGGCTGTAGGACTTGCCGCACTCATCACACTTGTAGGGTTTCTCCCCAGTGTGGACCCACTGGTGGATGGTGAGGCCCTTCTTCTCCCCGAAGGCCCTGGGGCAGTGGGCGCAGGCGAAGGGGCGCTCCCCGGTGTGGATGCGCTGGTGGATGGTGAGGGTCTGCTTCTCCCCGAAGGCCTTGGGGCAGTGGGCGCAGGCGAAGGGGCGCTCCCCGGTGTGGATGCGCTGGTGGATGGTGAGGGTCTGCTTCTCCCCGAAGGCCTTGGGGCAGTGGGCGCAGGCGAAGGGGCGCTCCCTGGTGTGGACCAGCTGGTGGATGCTGTAGGTGGTCTTGTCCCTGAAGGTCTTGAGTCAGCGGGCTCAGGCATAAGGTCGTTTCCCGGTGTGGACCTGTTGGTGGCGGACCAGGCTGTTCTTGTGGCTAAAACGGTTGTCGCAGTGGCTGCAGGCAAAGGGCTTCTCGTCCGTGTGCACGCACTGGTGGCTCAGGAGGTGATTCTGCTGAGCAAAGCGCTTTCCACAGTCACCGCAGCAGAGGGGCTTCTCCCCACTGAGCTCCTTCTGGTGAGACACCACAATCTTCTCCACACGAATGCTGCGACTGCACTGCCAACGAGAGAAGGGCCACATCTCCATGTGTGTCTGCTGGTGCTCCTTCAGGTCCTGGATCTTACCAAAGCTCTTCCCACACTCATTGCAGGTGGCGGGTCCCTCAGGCTCTGGGGGGGCCTTGGGGGGCAAGGCCGGCATTGTCCATGAAGGTCTTGGGGCAATGGGCGCAGGCGAAGGGGCGCTCCCTGGTGTGGACCAGCTGGTGGATGCTGTAGGTGGTCTTGTCCCTGAAGGTCTTGAGTCAGCGGGCTCAGGCATAAGGTCGTTTCCCGGTGTGGACCTGTTGGTGGCGGACCAGGCTGTTCTTGTGGCTAAAACGGTTGTCGCAGTGGCTGCAGGCAAAGGGCTTCTCGTCCGTGTGCACGCACTGGTGGCTCAGGAGGTGATTCTGCTGAGCAAAGCGCTTTCCACAGTCACCGCAGCAGAGGGGCTTCTCCCCACTGAGCTCCTTCTGGTGAGACACCACAATCTTCTCCACACGAATGCTGCGACTGCACTGCCAACGAGAGAAGGGCCACATCTCCATGTGCGTCTACCGGTGCTCCTTCAGGTCCCAGATCTTACCAAAGCTCTTCCCACACTCGTCGCAGGTGGTGGGTCCCTCAGGCTCTGGGGGTCTTGGTCTTGGTCTTCACCGGCAAGGGCTCTAACCACACCACCCAAGTCACGGAAGGCAGAGGCAGGGACTGGGAGAATGAGGAGCAACTCATGGTAGAAGATGAGATACGGGACCATCTGAGGAACCTGAAGGTGCACAAGTCCATGGGACCCAATGAGATTAATCTGCAGGTCCTGAGGGGACTGGTGGGCAAAGTTGCCAAGATATTATCCCTCATATTTGACAAGTCGTGACAGTCCGGTTGTCCTGGTTTGAGGTAAAACATAACCAGTTTTCTCCTCAGGAATTTTACTTCTCAGTTCAGTCTCTTCTAACTGACAGCGCTTTCTGGAATGAATTGCATCTGTCACTCCCCTCAGTGGCCAGTCCGGACCAAACCATGACACCAGGGAAGTTCCCACTGACTGGATAAGGTGAAACATGACCCTCTTTTTTATAAAGGGAAAAAAGGAAGACCAGAGGAACCGCAGGCCGGTCAGTCTCACCCATGTTCCTCAGCAAGATCATGGAGAAGATTCTCCTGGAGACTCTGCTGAGGCACATGGAAAATAAGGAGGTGATTGGTGACAGCCAATATGGCTTAACTAAGGACAACTCACGCCTGACAAATTTGGTGGCCTTCTACAATGGCATTACAGCGTTGGTGGATAAGGGCAGATCAGCTGACACCATCTACAGGTTCTTGTGCTGTCCTGCACGACATCCTGGTCTCTGAATTGGAGAAATTGATGGATTTGATGGATGGACCACTCGGAGGATAACGAGTTGTCTGGGTGGTCGCACCCACGAGCATCCTGGTTTGGCACAGTCAGAAACAAAAAGCCACACAGCCGCTTGCTCGCTCCCCTGCGGGATGGGGAGAGAATCGGAAGGGTGAAAGTGAGGAACAACTCGTGGGTTGAGATAAAGACAGTTTAATAGGTATAGCGAAAGCCGCACACACACGCACAGCAAACTGAGGGATTCATTCACCACTTCCCACGGGCAGGCGGGTGTTCAGCCGCCCCCAGGAGAGCTCCATCGCGCGTAACGGGGACTTGGGGAGGCAAACGCCATCACTCCAAACGTCCCTGCTTCCCTTCTTCTCCCCCAGGTTCATATCCTGAGCGTGATGTCACACGGCGTGGAATATCCCTTTGGTCGGTCGGGGTGAGCTATCCCGGCTGTGTCCCCTCCCCAGTCCCTGGGCAACCCCCAGCCCGTGGCTGGTGGGGCGCTGTGAGGAGCAGAAACGAGTTTGACTCTGTGAAAACATCCCTGTGTTCCGAAGACTGTTTCCAACACAAATCCCAAATCTAGCCCCGTGCCAGCTACTATGGAGAAAAGAAAACTGTACCCCAGCCAAAAGCAGCACATTCTCCACCCCTCATTCCACACCATGGACGTCAGGCTCAGGTCTCACACCATCCGGCACACCCTCATTAACCACCGTCCCCCTTCCCGTCCTCTGATGTAAGACACATTCCCCTACTCTACGGGCCACCCCTGTAAAATCGCTGTAAAATGTCCACAAATGTCCACCGAGCTCATTTAGTCCACGACGTTGGCCTCCATCAGTTACGGTGGCCACTCGGGACGGGGGAGGTGGGGTGCTGCGTGGGGTCACCGGGCACCAAAGGCAGCTCAGGTCGGGTCACTGCTTCTTAATGATTCTTCTCCTCCATCGGGTCGGGCGGTTCCTGTCATAGAAACTCCGATAACACACAACTCAAACCATGGGTTGCAACAACCTAAAGGTACGTCCACCCCAAAGCCCACCCCGGGTCATTTTGGGACAGGTTATAGAGTTCAACATTGCAATGGAGTCCTCTCCGTGCTCCCACCCGGTCAGCAACCAGGGGGTCCCGCTATAGCAGTTCCCATAACCTGCGACTCCAGTCCCCGTTTTGACCTCATTCCCCATTTCTGTACCTCATCCCCCTTTGGTGCAGTCACCCGTGGACCACCCAGCGTGGGGCGAGGGCCAGCGATAGC